CTTCATGCCAAACTGCATGGATGATTAGTCACCTTATCAGTAAACCAAGAAGGGAATGTTCTGCTTGACCTTTACGGCTGGATGGAGTTTGTAAAGAAGTTTCCTTTGACTTTGAAACTATGCCAGGATGTGTAAAACAAACAAACAAGACCACAGCTTTTTGTGTAAAGGGAAAATATCTGTTTCCAAAAACCCAAAAGGGAGAAAAACATGCCATAGCTTTAGCGATGCAACCATGAAGTGCAAATTTAAATCTGTGGAATTACTGAGTGGAGATGCTACCCTTAGTTTTTAATCTGTTCCTCTTTTTGAAAATTATCCTCAGGGGACTGCACTTATGTTTCATTGCATCCATAGTGTCAAGGACTTTGCAGCTGTAAAGCAGAATGTAGTAACTTTGAAGGCATTAATGACAATTTGAGCTAGTAAACAAGTTGGAGGATTTCTCCAATGACTGTACACAAGTTGGAGCACCAACAGAAACTAAGGCAATCAAGTTTGCCCTTTATTAAGGTACACATCAGAGAAATGTAAGTTTCTCTATGTAATTCTGTTTTGATAGCTCTGGCCATAAAATGGACACTTCCAAAACTGGGGGGAGGGTTGTCATGACCATGCTAGGGAAAGAAATTGTTAAATGTCTCCATTTAATAGTTACATGTGGTCAAGATACACAGTCCTGCAATATTTGTATAGCTACATTTGGACCACCTCTAGTCTAGGGATGAGAAAAACATGACCTATGGGCTACATAAAAAGCCCCCACTGAAAATAACACCGAAACACACAAAAATTCTCATTTCCACTCCTGAGCTTCCATTTTTCACTCCACCCCTAAAATAATCAAAAAGAGAAACCAGAAAAGCCAACTTGGGCACCCTCTGTTTGATTTCTATATAGCCATTTCTAGATACTTCTAGGCCCAGACTGGCCCACAGCAAGGTACAAAAGCATGAATTTGGGAGTCATCAACATTGCCTACCTTTATTGTAGAGGCTGGCTGGATCTCTCATCAGTGGCTATGTGAACCTAAACACTCAGACCTGGGCTTCTATTTTCAGGAAACATTGTTAACAACAAAAGATGTTCAGCCTCTAAGTGCTCTATCACGTATTTAAGCAACGACAGTGCTAACACATCATGGGTGGAGTGGGAGAGCAAATCCCTCCCCATCACTCTGGACACGGCCTCTGTGGTGAATTGTGTTTTCCAGCTAAACCCAGCTTCCATGTGATCAGCCATACGTGTACACTTTACTTTGTGCAACTTCTGTATTATTTTTTACACAGACACACAGCAGTGGTATGAGCACGACTAAGATAAATCAGCTTCAAAAACTGCAAATTTCTTGCTTCAATACAAGTTATACAGAGCTCTCAACTGAGCCATTATTCTTCCTCCCATTCAATTCAGCATCAATGGATCATTGTGACTAATGTGCCTGATGGCACAATATTTGTCATAATTTGTTATTCAAGACATTATTAGCTACAATCAGTGTGACGAACCGGAGGACAAGAAAGCTGTGCAGTGCATTCTGTCATGCAGACCAAATGAGGAAAACCCCACTCAAACGAAAATAAACTAATGGTTGTTGTGGGTTGTTATTTATTTATTTATGTATTTATGTATTTATTTATTTGATTTTTACCCCGCCCTTCTAGACTACGTCTACTCAGGCTCTTTTGTGTGTAGTGATCCCCGGTCCTTGTGGCTGGGTAGAGTTTGTTGACCTTTCGCATGCTGTATTTTTGAGAGCTGGGAGCCAAGTTTTGTTGAATTTCAAACTTTCCTCTTTTTTGTTGAAGTTCTGCTGGTGCTTGTGGATTTCAATGGCTTCCCTGTGCAGTCTGATGTAAGCTAATGACACCCATCAACCACAGTGACAGATAATCTCTCCTTCTTACCACAACAATACACCCACAACAAGACACACTAATCACCCATCTACAGAAAAAGACAAAAACCCATCTCACAGCCATAAATACTCCATTCCCAAGCCAACTACACCAGAGCACAGAGTGAAGATGCCAGCCACAGAGACTGGTGAAACGTTAGGAAGAACAAACTTCAGAACACATCCAAAGAGCCCAAAAAACCCACAACAACCATTAGATCTCGGCCATGAAAGCCTTCGCGAATACATTAAAATAAACTAACCTTTTAGTAGTCCTATTGTGCATATTTATTTGTTTTCCCCCTCAGACAGAGAGAGAGAGTGAGAAGGCTCTTTTAACATTAATTAGAAATTTGTTTTAACTATGTCAGAATCATTTCTCCCTAAGGAGATAATCATCTCCAGCAAGGAGTCACTGTAGGCATAAAACTAGCACCTTTAGTACCTGGGTAGGTCCTTTACTCCCCAGAAGTATGTAGTCCTTGCCCTATGGACAATCTCGACCTGAAAGAAAACTCTTGCCTGCTTACAAGGCAGTAAATCACTGACTGTGTACTTCCCTTCGATAGTACAACAGACTGGCTAGGTAGGACTTCTCTGTATTACAGTAGCAATGAATGACCTTCTCAAATCTCCACTGGATTTAGGTAAAATCCTGCTGTTCAAGAGACAAGCCCTTTAGATTAAGAATAATTGTTTTTATTAAGAAAATAAAGTAGTTTCATTGGAATATAGTTGTAGCTTTAATAAGGCATAAGTATTATGCATATCCAGCAGTTACCTTTATTCAAATAAGCTTACTATTCCTAGGTAAATGAAAATAAAGTAGTGTCATTGGAATACAGTTGTAGCTTTAATAAGGCTTAAGCATTAAGCATATCCAGCAGTTACCTTGATTCAAATAAGCTTACTATTCCTAGGTAAAATAATAGCAGCTAAAACTATGCTAAGTAATCATCTTTGCCCTCTACACGATAGCTCATTAACACACACATTCCACTACATCCTCCATCACCATCTTTCGTCACATACATGAACAACCATATTTCTACATGTCTTAGACCTCCCTCTTTCTGACACTTTCCAAGTTGTCATCCAATTAGGATCAAGGGGGTGTAACACAGTTCAATCTCCTATTTCACATGAGATGTTCCAGGTGGCTTATTTTGCCAATTAAGTGGTATGTGATGTTTCGTCTTCTCTTGATCTTCTCGGCCTTGTTGCTTATCTCGGTGCCAGGCAGAGCAACTTTGAATAACACTCTCATGAAAACATTTCAGTGCTTTTAAATCCATCTTACACAGAACCTAACAGACTCCATATTTATATGACTACGACCGGTTTCCTTCTATGTCCTCACAACTTTTACCAACAATTCATCATGTGACCTGCATTTGGACAGTAAATCAATTTGTCAAACCATCCAAAACAACAAAATGTAATACTCCCTTCCCATTTAACTGGCTGAAAGAAGAGGAATAATGTATTTTTCCTTAAATTCATAAAGGGGACTCCCAAGACAAATAGAGGGGATGGAATCCAGGCAGTCTGGACAGTATCTGAGGCCAGACATCAATGGAGAAATTATTTATTCACTTAAGGTATAAAACTACTCCCAACCTCAACAAAAGCAATGACCGGGGCAAAAAACAACAACAACAACCAAAAACAAAACAAAACTACAATTTTTTGCCAACTGGCCCCAAAGCAAAAATAAGACAAGTCAAGACAGTACAGGACAAGACACACAAAACTATCTTTTTAATGGCAGAGCATCCACTTTGTACGCAGAAAGTCCCTGGTTGAATCTCCAGCTCGAAGGAAAGCTAGAAGAGAATCTGCCAGAAACCCACAATGGCTGCTTCCAGTCAGTGTTGACAACATTGGTGGAACAAGGGTCTGACTTAATTTGAGGCAGCTTTTTAAATTCCCCTTTTAAGTGAGGAAATTTGGAGGAGAAAGTGGAGCGCTTTCTCTCTGCCTTTGCCTGCAGATTGCTAACAGCAGTGAGGAAAAAGCAATCAATATCAAATAGGTAGAGGAAATACACTGGATAATGGTGAGGGTCAGGAGACCCATGGCAACCAGATTTACAATCCCAGGGGGAGTATGTGCAACCTCCAGATCTTCAACCTTGCACCTCTAGTTTTACAATTTTTGCCAATTGACCCAAAAGCAAAAATAAGACAAGTCAAGACAGGACAGGACAAGACACACAACACTATCTTTTTAATGACAGAACATCCACTTTGTACGCAGAAAGTCCCTGGTTGAATCTCCAGCTCGAAGGAAAGCTAGAAGAGAATCTGCCAGAAACCCACAATGGCTGCTTCCAGTCAGTGTTGACAACATTGGTGGAACAAGGGTCTGACTTAATTTGAGGCAGCTTTTTAAGTTCCCCTTTTAAGTGAGGAAATTTGGAGGAGAAAGTGGAGCGCTTTCTCTCTGCCTTTGCCTGCTGACTGCTAACAGCAGTGAGGAAAAAGCAATCAATATCAAATAGGTGGAGGAAATACACTGGATAATGGTGAGGGTCAGGAGACCCATAGCAACCAGATTTACAATCCCAGGGGGAGTATGTGCAACCTCCAGATCTTCAACCTTGCACCTCTAGTTTAGGAGATAGATTATGTTAACCAACGGGTTGATACAGGCCCCCAAGGCTGTGTAATGCAACAGAGGAAGCAGATGAGTCTTCTGATCATTGGTGGCTTAATAAGTGACTAAGAAGGATGGATGTGAAGGCATCACAAACAGGTCTCTTCACCACTAAACTAACAGTGAAGTCAGTGAAGAGTCTGCATCCTTTCTTTCTGCAGATTTGTTCTTTCTTTCGCCCACAGCCCATTTTCAAGAGCCTGAAGAAACTCAGAAACGAAACCTGACGTATTTTTTACTTCCACATAGGACACCATCAAATTTAAGACAGCAATTAGCAAGGGTGGTGTTCCAACAGTTTATTTTGGACCATATTGGGCCGTGTCTTGTATTTCTACACAGTTCATGAAATCCAGAGTTACAGCCTAAGGAAATGTGGCCGTCAAGCTGGACAGATAAATAGCACAACTAACATTTCTGGCAATAGCAAGTGATTATACAATACCTTTAGGAGTTCTTTTGGTTCACTTCCTTCGTCAACAACAATCAGCTGAGCTCTTCCATTCCGTTCATTGTCTCGAATGCCCACAGCAACCTGAGTAGCTTTGAGGCGCTCATATTTATTGCATGTAGAGCCACACCACTGGTATATCTCCTGAGGGGAAAAAAACAGAGATGTGTCCAATTAACAGCAATTATGTGGGAAAGTGTGCAATATCCCAGTAACTAATCTCATATTTAGCTATTTAAGTGCTGTCAACTTGGAACCAACTTACAACAACCCTTTAAAAAGTTCAAGGTAATCAGATACTTAACAAGTGGCTTTACCAATTCCACTCCTCCGGTGAGTTGCCTTGGCCAAGTAGGGATTTGAACCCTGGTCTCCAGAGACCTAATCTGTCGCTCTATCCACTATACCACACTGGGTACTATCAATAAACTCAATGGCTCTTGGAATCTTACCTTGAATACCATACTGAAAAAGTTTTTGTTTTAGCACTGAAACTGAAATTGATATTAAACATAGAAACAGGTAGGTTTCTTTTCTTTAGCAATATAGAAAGGGATAGTTTCAAGAAGAGTTTTCCAGAAAACATGAAATCTTATCAGTCTTAGAAAGAATTTGATTTATGCAGTGTTTTCCTCTTAACTCATTTAAAAGTAAGCCCTCTCATTTCAGAACTGGACATTATTGTTATTATTATTTAATGCTTTGAAGAATTCTGACGTAGAGGGACCACATTCTTTTATGGAAGAACCTCCATTTAAAGGGTTCCCAGAAGATAATCCTTGTCTTGAACATCCTCCATTTGAAGGACCATCCAGTCCAAGTGTGACTTAGAGGTAGAATCAAAAGGAAGATAGCAAACCTTTAAGTTGCCCATGCACAATGAGTACCTGGACAAGACTCAGAAGGCACATTAGAATTAATGCCAAGACTTTACTCTTAAGTTGCGGAGGACTTGTCCAGATGGGCAAAGGTACCACAGCAAATGAGCACAGGTACACATGACTCATTTTTAAGAGGGCTGGAGTTTACCGGTATTAGCTTCTACACTGCACTATTGAAGCCAGATGCTTGAAGATGACTTCACAGGAAAGAAGTACGTATTTTTCGCTCCATAAGATGCACCTTTCCATAAGACGCACCAATTTTTTAGGAGAAGAAAACAGGAAAATATAATCTGTTTTCTTCGCTCCATAAGACACTTCACAGGAAAGAAGTAATTGCACATCATTTCTTGTCTGAAGACCTGCTTCTGGGTTCTTCTTCTTCGCATTTTAAAAAATGAACAAAGAGTTAATTAAAGTCTTCTAAAGTGGGAACTTCTGAAATCGAAATGAACTCTGTGCAGAATCACTATAGCCCTGAGCGCCCCCTGCCAAACAAAAGGCCACTTCAACCATCATTTCTTCTCTGCAGACCTGCTTCTGGGTTCTTCTTCTTCACATTTTAAAAAACCAACAAAGAGTTAATTAAAGTCTTCTAAAGTGGGAACTTCTGAAATCGAAATGAACTCTGTGCAGAATCACTATAGCCCTGAGCGCCCCCTGCCAAACAAAAGGCCACTTCAACATATTACAAGATAAGGAGATTTTAAAAAAAAACACATGGAAGGCAGGTGTAAAGCCACTGATCTACTGATCTAATTGAATTCTTGTTGGGAAGAAAAATAACAAAAGGAGTCACACTGAATCAGGTACTTTTCTTTTGTGTGGACAACCCTAAGGGGTTTTTTCTAGAATAAGTAATGAAAAACTATTGAAAAAGACTAATAAGATGGCCTTTCTTTCAGTTCCTTTTTAAAAGCACTGATCTACTGATCTAATTGAATTCTTCTTGGGAAGAAAAATAACAAAAGGAGCCACACTGAATCAGGTACTTTTCTTCTGTGTGGACAACCCTAAGGTGTTTTTTTTTAAGAATAAGTAATGAAAAACTATTGAAAAAGACTAATAAGATGGCCTTTCTTTCAGTTCCTTTTTTAAAAGCAACATCTGTGTACCTTATGCGTTTACAAAGAACAGGAAGAACATATTCTAACCCAGGGGGTTACAATCTAAAGTAATCACAAAGAACAGAGGTAGGGCATTGTAGACATGGGTAAACAAGGGGGAGTTGCAGTCCAAGAACATCTGGAGGCCCAAGGTTGGGGACCACTGAGATACAGTACTTTTTGGTTTAATTTATTGCAGGATAGAGATAGGGCATTGTAGACATGGGTAAACAAGGGAAAATATGAGATATTTTTGGTTTCATTTATTGCAGGATAGTTACAATAAAGTACATGGACCAGTGAGATGATCCAAATGCTTCTCAGAAAAGGTGGGCATAAAGGTAGACAAACTGTCATATACCTACCACCTTTCACTTTTCCTAGCATTATTGTCTTTGTCTAGTGAATTTTGTTTTCTCATGGCATATCCAAAGTATATATAGCTTGAGTTTAGCTTTTAGTGATTGTTTGGACTTGACTACCTTTAGAATCCACTTATTTGTCTTTCTAGCAATCTTAAGTATCCACGAAGCTCTCCAACAACACCATATTTCAAATTAATCAATTGTTTTTCTGTCAGCTTTCTTAACTGCCCAGCTTTCATGTCCTGTAATATGGAAGTCAACTGTCAAGGTAAACTATGGTTTTCCAAAACCCTGAAAGTTACTACTCAATAAGACTCAGGTCACACCAAAACATATTTTAGCATTTTTCTGAACTAGCCCACAGGGTGTTACTTACAAATCTGAGAATAGAATATTATCATGTAGGACCAACAGGTCGGTACATATCATAACAAGAAGAAATGCATTTTGTGACAAGACAGCATGCAAACGTTATTCATCAAAATGCTGGATTTGCCCTACTTAATTAGGCAGACTTCTATATGTCTTTAATGAAGCTTGAAGTTGAAAGTTCAAATTATTAACAGGACTATATATAGCAGCCAAACTGGTTTTTAAGTGTCTAATAAGTTTGTGAAAAATAACATTTCAAAAGAAGTTTTAAAACACAACTAGGGAAACCTGATAAAAGTGTTCACAAGATTACATGCCATGAACCCAGAATAATACACATAATTTACGGCAAAGACACCTAGACAATTTTTCCCATGCTAATTAGAATATGAACAAGCTAACAGTGAAAAATGACAGTAAGGGTTCAATAGGTTTTATATTGCATACATTGAAAGATGGCATCAAATAAAAATAAACAATGAAGAAAAGGACAAAAGACTGTGAGAACAATTTTGACTCAACATTTTGTTTGTGACAGAAGGAACTGTAAACAAAACATGATGCTTCTCTGTTAAAACTACAGAAGAACCCCAAAATCCATGGGGGATCGGTTCCAAGCCTCCCCGCAGATACAGATGCTGAAAAATGTGAATTACAGCAAATGCTATTTTAATAGTGAATTCTATACATAGCATGTCTCTGGCTCCCTCTATTGCCCAGTTCTGGTAACTTCATCTTTAGAAATACATATGTCTAGAATTTTTCTTTTAATATCTTTAAAATGTTTTCAGACCACAGATAAGTGAATCAGTGGATATTCAGACCACAGATAAGTGAATCAGTGGCTACTGATCCCATGGGGCCCTACTGTATTATGGAGAGACCCAAGGTTCTATTCTGAAATAGAAACAATATTTTTAAAATAAAATGTTGTCAGTTTTAATGTATTCTCGAAGGCTTTCACGGCCAGGATCTGATGGCTGTTGTAGGTTTTTCGGGCTTTTTGGCCGTGTTCTGAAGGTTTTTCTTCCT